GGTGAGGCGGAGCAGACGCGCAGGGTGAGACGAGGGAGGGAGCAGGGACTTGCGGAGATCAGCAGGAGGATGTACGAAGAGATTAGGAGCAGCAGGGACCCGAGGGACCATGTGGAAGACGGCTAGTGCTAGTCCCCCATCGGGAGGACGACCCCGGCTAGTCGCCGACCACACCCACAAAGAACCCTGCACAAAGATCGCAAGGGCGGGGGCCTGTTCCTTTTTACCCATCTCAAAGAAAGAAAGAAAGAAAACAGACAACCCAAGGGAGGGATGGGAGGACGGCATTTCACAGTAGAGAGGTGTTTTTATTTATTTATTTACACCTCGCGAGCGAAATCCAAGGCATTGGCCTTGCCAAGAAGCGACCGCCCGCCGATGGCCTCCCACCGCATCGGCGCGCGCGTCGCGGGCCTCTCGCCAGCGCAGCTGTGCGCCATCATCGAGGCGCAGGCGGGCGCGAGCGACGCCGCGCTGCGCGTGGCGGAGGAGCACGCCGCTCGGCTCGTGGAGCAGCCCGAGTGGGTCCTCTCCGAGGTCCTCCTCTCGCCGGACCTCGCCCCGCACATCCTCGCCCAGCTGCCGACCAAGGAGCACGCCGCCAAGGGGACGTGCCGCGCGTGGCGCCGCGGCTGGAAGGAGACGCTGAAGAAGCGCGAGAGGCCGCGCATGGTCGTGATCGGCAGCCACGACGGCGAGGGTGGGACTGTCAACTCGCTGGAGCGGTACGACCCGTCAACGAATGAGTGGGAGGAGGAGGCTGTGGCGCCGATGCCTTCGACACGAAGGTATGTCGGCACGGCGGTGCTCGACGGCAATCTGTATGCGGTGGGCGGCGTCAACCACAACGACGACGACGTCCTCAGCTCAGTCGAGCGGTACGACCCCGCGACGAATGCGTGGGAGGCAGTGGCGTCGATGGGGACGGAGCGGTGGGGTCTCGCTGTGGCGGTGCTCGAAGGCAAGGTCTATGCTGTTGGCGGGTACAACGACGGCTTCCTCAACTCGCTGGAGCGGTACGACCCGTCAACGAACGAGTGGGAGGCGGTGGCGCCGATGGCGGCGGCCCGGTTTAGTCACGCCATGGCGGTGCTCGACGGCAAGCTGTACGCTGTGGGCGGGTACAACTACGACGGCGGCTTCCTCAGCTCCGTGGAGCGGTACGACGCGGCGACGAACGCGTGGGAGGCGGTGGCGCCGATGGCGGAGGCTCGGCAGACTCACGACATGGCGGTGCTCGATGGCAAGCTGTACGCTGTGGGAGGCTTCAACGAAGACGACATCCTCAGCTCGGTGGAGCGGTACGACCCGGCGTTGGATGCGTGGGAGGCGGTGGCTCCGATGGCGACGGCTCGAAGTCGTCACGCCGTGGCGGTGCTCGACGGCAAGCTTTATGCGGTGGGCGGCAGCGGCGGCGGAGGCACCCTCAGCTCAGTCGAGCGGTACGACCCGGCGCTGAATGCGTGGGAGGCGGTGGCGCCGATGGCGACGGC